ATTAAAATATTCATTTTTTATGGAATTCGGACAAAACAAACAACCAAGTAAAGCCAACACCAATAAAAATAGCAATAAAAGAGAAAAATCTCAGTGCTAAAAACAAGATGATAGAATAATATATATCAAAATGACAAGCTCGGTGGTAGAAACAACATACCATAATATTCGGCTTTACATGTTACATTATATATTATTTTAAATATTTTAGTTAAATTAATATTTCTTTTATGTTATTTTAGGTTTGTGTAATTTAAAGGTGTTAATATTAAGAAAGTGAACCCTAATGTTGTAGAACAAAGTTTTAGGTCATGGATTTTAAAATCATTATATTTGGATTTGTATTTTATGGTCTAGTCGATGTTGAGGGAGTTTTTGCATATTTTGGATTTTATAATTTGAAACATGTCGATCAATCCATTATATTTGATTTTGTGATTTAGATTGCATGACATTTTATGCGGGCTAAAATGCATGTAAACTTGTATAATATGATTTGTTTGGTTAATTTTTAGTTCACATCAGAAAATAATAAACTCTTCTTAGTCATATCCAGTCATAATGAATTTTAACATAATTGTAGTTTACTAGAGGAAATGAACTTCTCCTTATTTATTCACTATCAATATGGATGTTACAATATCTGATATGAAGGATCAACCATACCAAGAGAATCGTCGTCTCAACCAATGAGACGTAAGAATTATGGTAAGGGTTGATTATCGTTGTTCGTCCGTCTACGATGTTGGATGTGTTTAGTTCACCAATATGCAACTTTAAAATGATGGTGATATGATAATCATGCATATTTTCAATATTTGGTAAGTATAGTATCAAGGGATCGATCGAGTTAGATGTTTCATTATCTAAATCTACTCTGTTATCTATTCAATTTTGATTTGACTCATGACATTTAATGAGATTGTGACGCGCGTGGTTGATCTCGATGAAGAAGTAACTAGTTTGTTTGGTCATGATAATGTGTGTTTTTAATTATTCACAATATATTATTGATGTTTGATGTGTAACATATTGTTAAATTTCATTTAGTTTAATGGAGTATTTATGATTATTGTATTTATTAATGAATTTAACAACTTCGAATTCTAAAATTTAAATAATTCAAAAACATGCTCCTAGTTGTAGAATTCAATAAATTTAAAATATTTCGTAAAAGCTTTAAGGGTGCAATTAAAAATAAGAATCTAAAGATAGTGCAATGTTAAAATAATTTTATATATACAACCACTAAAAATTCTTACATCGGAAAATTCCACCATTATTAGAGTAACAAAATTAAAAAAATTTACCCAAATAATCATCTTATCTTATAATATTATCCAATATACCCATCTTTTTAACAAATTTTCTAAAGTACCCAAGTTTTAAACAAACAAAAAGTTACACGTCAAGAGAGGCGCCAATAGAACTAGCTCCCCTTTTAAAATCTAAAAGGAGGCGCCGATGCGACTGACTCTCCCTTTCAATACTTTTAAAGGGGAAGTCAATTCTATTAGCGTCTCTCTTTGAATTTTAAAGGGAGAGTCCGTTCTCTTGACGTTTTCCTTTAAGTTTTAAAAAGAGAATCAGTTTTATTGGCGCCTCCTTTAACGTGTAATTTTTTTTTAAACTTAATTATTTTAAAAATTTTGTTAGAAAGATGGTTTTAAAAAATATTATAAATAAAATGATTATTTGGTTAAAGATTTCACAAAATTACAATACAAAAACTGTAAAAATGCAAACTAATGTCAAACACCAATTCAAGGTAAAAAGAAAAGTGTAACATTGTAGTATCTTTTTGATCCATTAGGTGGGGAAAAAAAGATTCATTAAAATCTGTGCTTTCTACGTGCCACTTTTTTAGTGCTTAAAGATAGGATTAGATTTCCACAGTTCATCACTTTATTCTTCAAAAGATAAATTCCAAATTCACCTTTTTCTGTTCATGTTTCATGATATTAAAATCCTTTATAATAAATATTAAATAAAGTAGAAAAAAATAGTTTTAACATTCTGGTATCTTTGCTGTCTCCTAAATAATTTGCAGAACATTACATGGTGTGTCTGTCCCTCTCTTACAACTTTGTTTGTGCCATTTGAAAAAGCTGCTTAAATCCTCAAAACCCTAAAAATAAAAGCACCACTTTCAAAATATCTATCTTTTTTTGGACAATTATGTATAAGAGATGGATCATGAATAAGTCCAACATATCATATGATACAAACGTTGTTGGTTGGTCATGTTGATATTAATACAGAGAAATTAATGAATGAATGTGAGCCACAAGATGTTTCTTTTGGTGAACTGGCTTTTCTTGTCTTAGCTAAGATTTTATTTTGAGATTGTCTGTTGTTTCACACAGATGTTAACGTGTGTATGTTTTTTTCTTTTCTGAGTGTTTGGTAAATTATAGAATGATAATGTGTTAGATTCGAATATTTTATGACAGTTGTAGATGATTTTTATCTATTTATGAGCAAAAATAGGTTTGGATTAGTATCAAATCACATCACATTTTCAGTTGTTTTATTCCCCGACAGTTTTAATCAATCATACTTGAAATTTGAAGCAGTCTGAGATATTTCTCTAGGAAAAATGTAAAAGTCAAGTTTTCTTTTAATAATTAATTAAGTCAAGAATGTTCTGGGGTTTAGTGTGAGCACTTGGAGGACATTGTTTGAGTGTTGAAAATTCTTTAATACTGAATTTGATTCAAAAAATAGCATATTTATTATGTTAAAGATTTAGGGGCAATATAGGTGAGAACACTTTAGAAGAGTGGTTGAATGGACATTATCTAATAAAGATCTAGACTTATACAATAAATAGTTTTAAGCGGGCCGAACAACATGTAATTTCTATAAAAGTTTAAAATTACAAACTATACAAAAAGTTAAAATGAGATAGAAAAAGAATGATTGTATCAAAATTTATAGTAATTCATCACGTTTGTCTTTGCTTTGCGTCTAATTTATTTTTCAATAATAGATAATTGAAAATTCATAGTCTTCTATTATTTTGATATTTTTCAGTGTGTGCTTTATACAATCAAAAATTAGATGATAAATAAAATTAAAAACAAAAATAACAGCTCTAATCTAAATATTTCTTTTTTCTCCGTTCCGCAATAATTTTTACTCTGTTCTTCCAAAATCTTCAATGGAGAAAAAATCTTTTATTTTTGCTCATCATTAATTGTTATCACACAATTCATATCTTAGATCGGCAACTCAAAAACTTCACAAATATTAACAGCGAAAGAACATCCTATATGGTAGATCTCACACTCTATAAGCATTGAGAAGCAACAAAATCAGGATAATTTGCTAGAGGTTGAAGATAAATTTAAATGCAATCAAAGTTTATGAAAATATGTTTTTGAAAGCTAAACTCAATTTCGAAAAACTCTCCGAAGTAATGATTTTATAATCATATCATTTCATTTCATGTTGGAAAAAATAGCACTAAAAAATAGTAAAAAAAAACATTTTAATTTGAGTTTAAACATAGTGGTATGATTCGAGCCAAATGAACAAATGATTTAAATCAAAAACTTAAAACTCAAGTTTTTATCATTTGATTCAAATCAATGATTCGAGTCAAAGAATCCTATAATTTGAATCATACTGCCATAATCAATCAAAATCTATAAAACTAATATGATATTAATTATTTATTCATGTGTTTATCCTCTAATACTCAATTAATTGACTTTAATCAAATTGCAAAATAAGATTTATTGAATTACACTCAATTTTAAAATATACACAAAATCTAATTTTAAAAGAGATTTATTATTCAAATGATTTTATAAAATTCAAAAGAAGTTGGATGATCTTTTGCCAGATAAGACTGACAGATATTGACATTTTAAAAGGATAAATATTTTTAGTATAATAACTGATGTGCAATTGCGCATTATTATCTATTGTCACCTAATAGATACACATTATGTTGAGATATTTTTGAATGTCAATAAAACTGAGACAAGTTTACCAATAATTTTCTATACCTGTCTTAATATTACAAGTTAGCCCCATCCACCAAGAAAAAATACTACTACAAGTTAGACAAATCAAATTTTTATTGTTTAGGAAATCTTTCTTTAATATTAAAGTTACCAATGGAAGACTACTTTAGAACCAAAAATTAGCAAAAACAAAGGGAAAAAGTATCAACTTATTGCCAAGTTGGGAGCATTGATGTGGACTTAAAGTTCAACGTATTACTAGCTTTTAGCTGGTGGTATACTATATGATGGTCAATTCACTACCATTTGAATTGATGTGTGTACATGACTTGGTGGTCCATGTTTATCTTCACTGCATGAAACACGTGGGTCTTACGTGTTCTGATCCTTAGTTATGTCGACGTGTCTTAAGGATGATGTCTAAAATCTTCTAAGTGAATCATGTTTTACTCTAATCAATCAAAGATAGAGACCCAAGAATAATTATAGTACTAACTTGTTGCAATAGCAATTTAGCAAACATACTCTTAAAGAACCGACCAAAATAAAAAGGTTACAAATTCTCAGATTATGCAGTCTAGTAAAAGCTAATATGAATGTCTATGGTTCCACAAGATAAATTCAAATGGTGGTGCATTTATGTATCAGTTGCAGCAATAAAGTTATGCATGTAAAGATTGAAGGGAAGAAATAAGAAAGATTCTTTCCGACAATAGTTATCTAGCAGGAGCTGAGATAGCATATATAGTAAATGTATAAATTTTTCTATGAAGATTATGACAAAAATTCAAGAGAGAAAGCTAATATACCATGAGTATAAGTATATCACTAAAAGAAATAACTTGACAGGGTAATCAATAAATTAGGGTCAGAGAACCAATAACTACTAGCCTGTGTAGCTTCACTTGCAGACATGAGTTAATTCCCTGAAAGAAAGGCCATGGTCTGTCTGCACATCCAAAAGCCTAATACATACTCAAACCAGCAAAAAATAAATAGACAGGTCACACCCAACATAATGCATTTTTAATCATCACCCTCTTCGTCATCTTCTTCAGACTCATCCTCCCCATCTTTCTCCTGCAAATAAGAAATATTATTTGTATCAAGTATTTCTTAAGTTGTAATGTCATTAATCAAATATGCAAATTATTTAATGTGTACATACAATCCGGTCTCTCACCTAAAGCATTTCATTCTTACAAATACTCATGCTTGAGGGACTGTGTACAATCCAGTCTCTCACCTAAAGCATTTCGTTCTTTCAAAACTCATGCTTGAGGGACTGTGTACAATCTAGTCTCTCATCTAAAGCTTGGACCTCATATTTGAGGGACTGTGTACAATCTAGTCTCTCATCTAAAGCATGGACCTCATGTTTGAGGGACTGTGAACAATGTGATCTCTCACCTAAAGCATTTCACTCTTCCAGACCCTCATGCTTAAAGGACAGTATACATTCCAATAACTTGGGTCAGGTTCTCACCCAGAGTCGATAGAGCCCGCCCCAATTCTCAACCTGTCCATAAGGACAAAACCGTGCCTAGACTGTAAACGGCCCAAATCAATAAGACCAAGCTAGGAGCAGCGCATTCAATGATCTTTATAATCCTTAAATATGGGACAAGACGGAATGGCTATATAAGGGATACTAACACAGAGGAAAGGACAGATACTTTTGATAAGACTTACACTCAGACAGACATTTGCGATTCTAACTGACTCAGCTCTGGTGGAGTTATCAATTAGTGTACCCAACATGTACAATGTACTACTTAGATCCTACAAGAATTTTTTCTTAGGACTAACAGCGATCATTATTGATTTTTTTCGGATCATAAATATGACTTCAATTCAGTGTTGTTGATGGCGGATGGCGGTCCATGGCGGGGAGCTAAAATTCCACCATGTCGGCCGCTTTGAGGTGCCGTTATAGCAGATTATGGCGGAAAAACCTGCAATATCGGCCAACACTTACCATTGTGGCGAGGCCAAAAACCACCATGGTGCCACCATTTGATAACACTGTTTCAATTTGTAGCTTTATGTCTCACCTTCACTTTAAATCTCTAAAGTATTACTCAAACTTATAGTTCCAAACTCTGTAGATTAACATTTATACTATATACTAGATCTAGAATGAAAATTAAAGCTCAGTTCAGCCCCTTCAGTTCACAATATCACTGTTAGAAGCACATGCACGCGCAATTAAAGATCACGAAGTCAGCATGGATCCAGTATATCAGTATCACTGCATCAAACTCCTCTAGTTGAAAATTCGAATTCAGTGTGGATCTAGTGATTATCAGATTCCACAAAAATATTAAAAGCAATAACCCAAAAACTTTTGTTAATCACCTCTATTTTTTCCAAGAAAAATGGAACTTCAATTACCTCATCATCAGCTTCATCATCGCCATGCTCTTCATCAAGCTCCTCCTGTTCCATTACAAAAAACTACAGTTAGAAACAGTGGAAGAAAAATATGGCAAAGTAAAAAGAAAAATGATGGGAAATCAGAGAAAGTATTTGGTATTCATCAAATCAAAAGGATATAAAAATTAAAAGTTGACTTACATTGTTGAAATAAATGAGTGGATTTGACCATAAATCATCCTTGATTAATTCTGCAACCTGCAATTTAGAGTGAATATTATACTAGGACTAATGTGAATATAGGAGACAGGAGGAAAAAAAAACTAAGGCAGAAATGGATGTATCTAGAAACAACTTGAGAAGACCAAGAAAAATATATACCTCATCATGAATGTCAAGCAGATCATCATCTTTCTGCTCACAGTCACAAAACCAACTAAGGAAACTGCATTCATTAGAAAAAGAAATTGAAGATTTTAACCATTTGTTTCATGAAATGCTTTCAAAAGAAGCTTTAACAACATATTTCCGCAAAAACTTAAAATTTAAAGAATAAAAGCAAAAGGTTCCAGAGTTATCAATCCCAGATAGTGGAGCGGACCGGCCGACTCCAAAAATGAGATAGCGGGATAACCGCTACTTGACTATTTTTTGGACTAATTATATGAATAATAACTATAAAACATATATTAAATGAAAAAACTAAACATATAACACAATACCATAAAAAATTCATAAAATCAAATTATGAAGCACAAGGCGTAATAAAAAAGTTTTAATCAAATTCAACAAGTCTCAGTCAAATTCAAAACATCACATCTTATATTAAAATTTAAACAAACATAGAAGATGTTGTCATTGTCTACAAATAAAAGATGAAGAAAACAGAGAAATAATTATTAAATTATTATTCCTTAAAAAAGAAGAAAAGAAAGAAGAGAAAAAACAGAGGACGATGAGAAGAGTAAAGAAAGGAGAAGAAAATAAAGAGAAAAGAAAGAAGAAAATGAAGAAGAAAGAAGAAAAAGAAGAAGAAAGAAGAAAAGAAAGAAGAAGAAAAAACAGAGAAGTAAGAAGAAGAACTTTCAAAAACCATTTGGAGAAGAGAGGAATGGGCCGAGTGAGAAGACGAATGAGAGTTTTCTGAGTTAGGGATGGCAGCGATGAGAACTGAAGTGAAACGCATGAGAAAGTGAGAAGACAAATCCTCTGTTTTCTGAGGTAGGACAAACTGGGCGAAATTCAAGAAAAACCCATCCAACGTTTATTTTTTTCAAGTGTAAATATGGTTTTTAGCATTCAAAACAGATGGCGGGTTGAAACCCACTCCAGGCAGGGAAGCACTCTGCTCCTGCAACCCGCTCCAAGCCAAAAAGCGGCCGCTATCTCAAACTGAAACGCAAACTGCTGTGCCTTAGAGGACGGACACCGCTCCACACCATTCTCCCGGGATATCGCCGCTATTCCCCGGGATTGATAACAGAGCTTCTATCCTCAAATATGAAGGAAGTTGATTGAAAACTGTGATAATTGTTTTGACTACTTTACTCTCTATCTTGCTAAGTCATCAATCATGCGGTTAGAAATTGATTTTTACCCGACAAGGTTTTGGCAGAGTAATGCACAATCAGGCATAGAGACTTTTCAATCAAATCCTGAAAGGTCACAGATTTTACTAGAAAGAACATAGTAGAAAATTGGCACTGGACTCCCTTAAACATCCAGCATACATCCGGTCCAAACCTCCACTCAAGTATACTACTACTCCCAATCTCGCCTGGGTGTTTCTTTTGATTCCACTCATCAAATAATTGACAGAAAAAATTCTTTGATTCCACTCATCAAATAATTGACAGAAAATATTCTTCAAAGGCTTCACTTGCCAGTCCAAAAATTGCAGATGAAACTAATTATTGATGTTAAATAGTGGAGCTAGAGCATTTTTGCGTAGCAGGATATGGACAAAACACTATGAAAACTGTTATGCTATCACTGCTATAGAGGCTTCTATTTCCTTAGAGGATATGGCAAAAATAGCGGGAAAATGATTTTGAGGATTTTTTAAGCATAACCTAAAAATCAGCATGTGAGGTGCACATGAACACTTTCTAAAAAAATTAAACAAAGAACTGAAGAGTTGGGGAAGTGGCTCTGATAATCACAACCTAATATGTCAACTAAAAAGAGAAAGGAAGCCCCTAGCCCTGTTGTTGCTGGCGATAAATAAGACAAAGAAGAGTTTGGCAGTGTTGGATGATCCAGTCTTAAAAAATAAACAGAAGCATTGGAAGACTAAGAATTCAGTAGAAGAAGTTGAAGGATAAGCCTCACTATTTGACAATTAAAATAATTATTATATTGGGGAAGGGACAGAGAATTGGTTGAAGTGTAAGATGATCCAGTCTTGGAAGAATCAGAAGAAATATTAGATGCCTGAGGAATCCATAGAAGTTGGAGGATGTGCCTCAATATCTGACAATGAGAATATTGACTATATTGGGGATGCGAAGCACAATGAAAATATATGTTTTTTCAGTTAAATCTTTTTAATTGTTTGCGCTTTACAGCAAGTAGAACTTTGAATTATTAAATGTTTTGAACAATTGAGCTATTATGTCGCAATTTTAGTTTATGTTTATGCAGGTTCTTTATCCGTATGCAGCGTGTTTTTTTCAATATCAAATTTATTTATTTCAACTGTTATGCACTATTTCTCGTAGCAGATTGTTGGTGTTTCGCTATTTTTTGCGATCCGGCCTTGATAACACTTATTATTACTGAGATCTTGAAGGGGTGATTACTATAGAGAAATAAAATCATTGGAGCTTGCTTGGGAAGAGATAATACATCGGAAACTGGTAATAGCATTCTTCCAACACAAACTCAAGGTACATAAGTGTAACTAGATTAGGACACTCAGAAGTTGACCGGTTTAGTAGAAGACAATGACATGGATAACATGGTGGGTAGTGAATAAAGAGGATAAGAGTGGATTTTACTCATTGGCGTATATAGAAGAATAGTGATGAGAAATTGTCCAGGTTGAGATCCGGAATGAACAAGGCATCCTGCATCCTATATGATTATGATCAGGTGTGGGATTAACATAATCCTTTTAATAAGTAGATTTAGGTATCCACTGTATTAGGTTATGGACTCCTTCTCTTCCCCAATATTGCCTTATCTTTGGCTTGGTCATAATGGAAAAAAATCTGCTAGAGTTTTTTTAGAATAAATATAAAGGGGAATTTGGTTTAGCAACCAAAACATGCATCACTAATTCGGTGCCCTTTCTTGATGTGCTATTTGATTGGCAGGAATATAACTCGTGAGGTCCTTATCATGGACAAATTTAGGGAGAAAAAAAATTCCAGAAGTGCATTTTGATTAAAATATAAAGGTCAGCCAAAAACAAGTAACTTGATTAGAATCTACAATGCATCATGAACATGGGTTTCTCTGTTTATAATATTTTCTGTACAAAAAGAGAAAGATAAACTGAAGACACCAACCTGACATCAACAGGAGCCCGTTTGTTCCCATTCTTCTCATGATCGACACCATTGGGTATTCCCTGTATGTTATTATGTATTAGTAAAATACAATCTAACAACATAAAATTTTGTCATTATTAGTTATTAAATGTAAAGATAGAACATTTATGTGTAAATCACACTCAATAATTTGGTTATAGTTTTCCTTAAACTATCAAACATAAGATCTGATAAACCCTTCCCATTTGTTTTTCTACAGCTCTTCTTCACAAATGCCTAATGATTGTATTTCTAATCCTATATTGTCTTGTGTAACCACCCAATGTTCAGTTCCATACCACATTTTTCTGTTGCAGATTACAACCAAAACATCCTTTATTTGATTTACCCTACTTGGAATCTATGACCAATATCTTGTATCTTACTTTATGACCAATGTTTTCCCTCCTCATCCTTAATACATCTCATCTGATTTGAGTTTGTTGTTCTCTCTACATTTTAGTAAATTTAAACTGATTCATGTCATGTAGATTCGACAAATTTTTACATTGGTTGTCATATAAATAGAATATGCAAAATCAAAGTTATAAATGCTGATAAAGGAGAAAAAGTGAAATTCATTGTCTTACCTTGCCCTCTTTCCATCTTATGGGGGTAGCAGTGATATTTGTTGTTCCTTCTTCAAGGAAGGTAAAAGTCTTTGAAAGTTTTGAATCTTCAAAATAGGGATTCTGATTGAAGTTCTGAACATGAAATGGTTACTGGTTATTTTTTGGTCAATAGAAAGTTAACATTTGGTTATTCTTCAATCCTCAATGAATAAGTTCACAGCTTCACAAAAATCATAACTTTTCGTGGCATTGAAGTGATTGGAAGATAATAATACAGAGAAGAAGGGAAGAAGAGGGGTTTTGGGAAGAGGGGGAAAAGAGGAAGAGCAACTTACAAGGGTGATTGTGTATCCAGATTTTACATCTTTATTATCTTCAACCTCAAGAGAACTCAAATACTTGAATATCTATCAAATAAAGGGTCAGCAATCAGTTAAAGTTTCCCAACAGGACCAATCACCAAAGGAATAAAACTGAGGACTTGTTCGGAAGGCAGGTTAAAACAACAAAGAACGGAATAAACCGGTTTTGTTTTATGTTTAGTGCATATATTAAAAGTGAAATAGAACACACCAAAAAACGATAAAAATATTATTTTGATTCCATATAAAAGAGTGGAACCAAAACCGCTCCATTTTGATTAAAACTCAGAACTTTCAAAGACCACCCTGTGTAATTTCCAAAAACATAAAGAAACCAGATGTAGCAACAGAGAAAACTTAACACAAATGTGAAATTTTATACCTTTTGATCTTCCTCGTTCAGAAGTTCACTAAGGGTAGGATGACTCAAAAACTGCACAATAATAACAAAGATAAAGCAAACAGAACACAGTTAACAATTACATTAACAAAATCTACAAGATGAATTCAATGCAAAAAGAAAAAAACACACACATACACACGCACATATCGAGAGAGGATGTAATGATGTACCAACTTACTCTAGGAGTAACTCATAGAATTACTCCACTTAATAACTATTTATAAATAATATTAGATTACACTAATTCAAACGTTGAGTTAAAAATTGTTATTAAGTAGATCAACTCCACAACTTTTTACAAAATTTAATAACTATTTGATACTTCATCTGATAACCTCAATTGAAGCTAATAATAATCTTTTCTAAAATAAAAGTATATGTTGACTATTCGATTATATAGTTATAATTCTCAAATTTAAAAATAATATATATTGAGTTGATCTACTCAAATAAAACTTTTAATTCGGCACGTGTGTGTATATAAAAATACAGTGGGAAGACTCACAGCATTCAACCAGAAGTCAGGAATAGATTTGATGATCTCATTCCGCTTATCATAAACAGGTTTCCTTATCTCATTGTACTTCTGCTCAATTTCAAGGACCTTATCACTTGCTTCATCATTGATCTGCAACAGTTCTCAAATTCAACATCCAAAACAACAATCAAACAACAATTCCCCATTCAATAATTGAAACCAAAATTTACAAAAAACACAATTCAAATCACAATAGGTAAATGTAATTTGCAGAGATCAAAACATTTCCTAACTCAAAATCTTCAATTTAATAAATATACGAGAAATTAGCATACAATTGAACAATAAGGAGAGAGAAAAACGGGATATGAAAGGGAATGACGAAACCTTTTCGAGGCTGTCTTGGATCTCTTGCAACTTCTCGATGGAGAGGATGAGTTCGGCGTCAACATCTTCAGGATTCTCAGAAACTTTCAGCTTCTTTGACCTATCTCCTACCATCTTCGCCTCTGGGTGGTGTTTGCTGCGGAAGATGATGAAAAGAGAAGGGTTAACAAAACTACACGAACTCGGTCTTAGGGTTTAAAGGGTTTATGTTGGTTCACTGTGATCGTTGATTATTACACGTCAGCAATGATTTCGCTCCTTTTGATGAAATTTAATCACGGCATTCAGGTTAGTAAAATAAAATAAAATGTTATTAACCGTTTGATCTTGATCAAACAAGTAAAAAATAGAATTTCTTAAAAATACCAGTTTTATATCATGACCGTGTGATCTAATCGGACGATCATGTACGCTTAATTGTGTGAGTACAGTTTTTTTTTACTTGTTACCGTGGATTGGATTGTTTGTTGTACTCCATTTCTTAAGTACTAGTATTATTTTTCTTTTGGTACTTGTATTTTGGTACATGTAAAATGATATCGATAAATGGTGTACTTGTATTAAAATTTAAATGAAATTTTAAATTTGCAGGTCACATGTAAAATGATGGACAATCATCATATAATAATCAATAAATTATGGTGTATCAGTATTACTAATATTCATTTGGCAAATATGTAAATCGTTCTTTTAAGTTAATGAGTTTTTATTTTTCATCTCTTTATTTTTCTTTTTTTAATTGAATGTTAAAATTTTTTTTAATATACCTCGTTATTATCTAAAGCAAATTTTGCAAATAAAAATATTATAATATTTTTTACTTGCAGGAATTTGTAATTAGGAAGAATAGCAAAATAACAAAAAAAAATTATATATAAAGATAAAAATTAAAAACTCGTTAACGAATGATTAATATATTTAAATTTATATATTTTTAATTCATATTTTATATATTTTATATTCTAAAATATAAACTAATTATATGAAGTCTTCTTTTTGTAAGAATGTCAAAATGAATTTTTTTGAAACAAATTGATAGGATACATGGCATCTAATGACCTAATTAAGCCAATAAATTCTATTAGATTTAATATTTAAAAGTTTGCAATAGAAATTTGAGTCACTTTAGATTTTTTTTTGAAATTCATTGAATTTTATATATAATTACTAACGAAATGAATTAGAGAAGACACATATAACGGGTGTATTAAATGTTGTTAGAATAATATTTGTTCATGACATATTCTATTTTAATTTTAATGATAACAAAGTATTGAAAGAATAATGATTTATTTGATATGTGTTTTATTATGCAGGTTCGACATCTTTGTACATAAATAATCAGAATCTGTGTTACGTGAATACACTTGAGAGTTGCTTCATTGCTAACTTTTAGTGGCAGAGTCTAAAGAATAATTGTTAGTGTGGTTTGGCGCAAACTCTGAGCTGAAGGCTTCAACATTCAGACGAATTACTATACTTGGTAATTGTATATCAGCATTTGGTACCATTTAGAGTTGGTGATAAAGTTATGGTTGTTCGTACTGCAGAAAGCAAATTATATTGTCTTATCAGCTTGTCAGCTAGAGTCTACAAAATTACAAGGCTCAAGAAAGGCTGGCATGCTCTATGGATATCTGCTATCAACGGCTATATTAGTAAAAAACCTCTTGAAGACTCAAAGGTTAAATGTGTTACACAGTGGATTTAGAATCTGTTGTGCATCCATCTTCAACGTCTCTTGTACTATGGAGTAAAGGCAAAGACACTTGATCAAGTTATCTCTTCAACGACTAATTTCTGCAAAGGCTATAAATATGGTTGAAGATTCAAGTTTGAATTTTAACAAGGATTCTTCAGATGAAGGAGTAGCAAGATCAAGCAATTATCAACTCTATTGTAATATGCAGATTTCCTGTTGTAGGTTGTAATTGTAAAAGCCTTAAGATTTCTTACCATTGAATATCTTAGAAATATTAAGAGCTTTAGGTATTTTTTATGGTGATTTTCCGTACCTCTGGTGCTTGTATCATGTACACCTTGTTCTCTATACTGCAGAGCCTTCAGTAGTTTAGATCAAGTCTCTCGTTATGTGCTTGAGCAGAAGTGTTGTCTCATTGGGATTCCAACAACAAGTCTTGAGCCAAGATGATTAAGCCACGTAAGTCTCATTGCTTAAGTTCTTGAGTTGTGAAAGTCATATTCAACTACGAGGGCTACGAGCTCCAATCTTCACGCTCCTGGCCGTATCGTCGTCGAGGACTACGAGCTCGAAGTCCCCATCTGAAATGGGGCACGTTGGGTGGAAGGGCTGTCCGTTGACCGCTGGAGGAGTGTGCTTGTCTTCGTGGTCCTGTTCGTCGGGAAAGCGAGAATCGAGGTCCACCGCGTCGACGTGGTCCTTTGTCCTGTGCTCTTGGATGGGCGGAGACTTTATCGCTTTAGGAGAGGGACCGATCGTGCCAAGGCCCTTCATCGCTCCCTCGAAACATCTTTGGGCTACCTCTATGTCCCCGTTGAGGGTGACGACGGCTCACCGCCTGGTGTAATACTTCATCTTAAGGTGGACCGTCGATGGCACTGCGGTGAGTTCTGCCAGCGTCGTCCTACCCAAGATGCAATTGTATTGGGACGGACACTCGACGACCAGGAAGTGAATGTTGTTTTCCCAGGCCGTCTCATGTGCCTCGAAGGTGACCTTGAGCTTCACGTATCCCCACGGTCTCGTCGTTGTCCCATTGAACCCCTGGAGGTCGGAGCCAACATAAGCGGTTAAATTGATCTCGTCGAGTTGCAACATCGAGAACAGATGGGTATACATGATATCCACCGAACTCCCTCCGTTGACCAGGATGCGGCGAACGTCAAAGTTCGCCATTTGTGCACGGATCAGCAGGGGAATGACGGAGTTGGGGGCTCCATCGGGCAGCTCTTCAAGGAAGTACGTGATCAGATTAGACCACCCATGGAATTTGCCAAGGGTGCTCATTTTGCTAGAGTTGTTGCTCATCAGCTCGTCAAACTTCCTCTTTACGGAACCGATGGAGAGGTTGTTCGGGGTCCCGCATGAGAAGACTAGCGTCGTGGGGAAGTATTCCCACGGGCTGATGGGGCGTATTGGCTCTTTGGGCAGTTGGTGCCCGGTAGGGAAGCTGTGTTCTCTCAGGGAGAACAAGTCTTCAGGCTGACTTATGTTGAAGGCCACCTGTAGCCCGGAGTCGTTGGGTGGAGGAATGTCTTCGACCCTTTTGGCTTTGTGGGCCTCCTACTGAGGGGCATCCCCCTGGTGTACCTCTTCAAGTGGTCATCTTTGATGAGTATCTCGATTGCATCCTTGAGGTGGATGCAATCCTCGGTGACATGATTGTGGTCGCGGTGAAAGCGGCAGTACTTAGACTTGTCCACGTTGGCTTTGGGGGTGTCGGTTTAGAGAAACGTACACATCCCCTCACGAATTCTGAGTTGGCGCACTCATCCAGAATGCACTCGCGGGAAGCGACGAGGGCTGTATACTCGGTGAAGCGGCCTGCAGGGCCCATTTGCTATCGGGGTTCCTGGGGATGATCATCTCGTCGCAGATCTCCCCCACGCCGGAGGGCTGGTGCCCCTTCTTCCCGGGATCCGTGGGCGGCTTCGCGGTTACGGAAGTCTCGGGATGAATTAGCAGCTTCGGTTTCCTCGTACCGAATGTAGGCCTGGGCTTTGTCGAGGAAGCCTTGTAGGGTGGTTGGTCGGTGGATCGCCACGACCTCGTAGAATTTGGAGTCGTGGCGCAGACCTTGCCCTATGAGGTAACGTTCCATGTCGCCTGAAGTCGTCACTTGGACTGCCTTCTTCGTGAATATCTCTTGATGTAGTTCCTAAGAGGTTCGTCTTGGGTTTGAACGATTGCGCCCATGGCGGCCTCCGTCTTTGAGTGGCGACGGGATGCCGTGAAATATTGCGAGAAGAGATCCTTCAGGACCCTCCACGATATGATGGGCTCGGGCTCTAGGCTTTTGTACCAGGCCATGGCTCCCTTCCTCAGCGTCGTCAGGAAGAGCCTGCACTTGATAGCTCCTCGGGAAGGCCTCGATATCTTTTAGATGGTCGTTTGGGTCTGATGTGCCGTCGTAGGTGGAGAGCGCGAGCGGCTTCTCCATCCCGTGGAGGGTGGGGGCTCCATGAATTCCCGTGATAGGGGAGTCTTATGGTCGTCCTCGTCACTACGGACAGGGGAGCGCGAGGGCGAAGGATTGCGCCGAGGGGCTTGATTACGACCCCTCGTCCTCTTGCTCGGGGCCTCAGGGCTGTTTCTTTTTGGGGTCGGGGAGCTCCTCTCCTTCCGGGGAGGTGATCAGTCGCGCTTCTTAGAGGCCATGGGTTGGGGCCTCTCCAATTGTGGTTGGCGCCCCCGTTGATGGGGGGAGGGGCTCTGAGAGTCCTAGTGTTGGTTTCTCCGGGGGGGAGAGCGAGATGAAGTATCATGTTCCAGTATCCCGATGTGTTTGTTCTGCTGGAACAACATCAGATTAGTCTGGTTGATGGCTGTGAAGAGGGCAGTCATCGTTGGGTGCTCCCCTGCTGGCGCGAGGACGGGCTGAAAAGCAGTCGGGCTCCTTGTTCGAGGGGCGACGTGGTGTGCCGCGTCCTCGGAAGAAGAGGAGACAGTCTGCCCGTCTCTCATGTCACCATCGCGGACGTGGGAGGGCCCAGCCTGGTCCTCGCTGTTGGTGAGTGGGGCGAAAGCGGAGTTATGGACAGCATCGTCGTGGCGTGGCTGGTCATGATCTCAAAAATTGATGAAGTTGATGAAAGCTTTGGTTCTACTACTCGGAAGAACGGGGAAGCTCTAGATTCCCATAGACGGCATCATTGATTGTACCTGATCAGAGATATTGCTAACTGGCCACGCGTCGTCGAGTGACAGATGTTCATCAGAGGTAGGGAGAAGGAGGGGGTGTACCTGCAAGACACTCGGATGCTTAAGTGAGTAAAGGACTATAGCGAGAGCAAATATAGAAATTAGGTGTAGAGAATGAATACCTGACCCTCTAGTGAAAGAGAGTATTTATAGTGAGGCCCCAGCGCATGGCTAATGGTCACTTGCATTGGGTCAGATGGCCAGGGCCAAC